GGGCTGCAGCCCCGGGGTGGAACACGGTGTGCGGAGGGGCTGCAGCCCCGGGGTGGAACACGGTGTGCGGAGGGGCTGCAGCCCCGGGGTGGAACGCGGTGTGCGGAGGGGCTGCAGCCTCGGGACCTCGGGCAGAGCGGGTCCAGGCGCTCCTGAGCGCGGCTCCAGGCAGGAGCCGGCAGCGGTGGGAGGCAGCTCCAACTGCGAAAGGAGAGAAATGGGTAGTGGGGTTTAATTTCCTCACTATTTGAGTAAATAGCAGTAAATTACACTAATCTCCTCCATCCGAATTCGTTTCACGCGTCGTTATCTCAATTCACGTGCTTTTACACCTTGTTTTCCGTTCCTGTTTTCCCGCTGAGGAGAGGCCGCGGGGACCTTGACTGCCTGCGGTTCCTCTCAGTCGAACCCCGAGCAGGCATCTTCCTTGTTAGGGCTTCAGGTGCCCTTCTCTTCATTTTGAAATGCCTGTGGTTAATGGGAAGTATTTTAACTACACTTACATGAAGATCTAAGTGAGTTAGAAAGATCACAGGAGAGCACAAAGTTAGAATAGGAAAAGATTTGTTAAAAGTTGCTGGGGAAGGGCAAAGGCAAATGAAGCTTTGGTTAATAGACGGGGTATTCAGTCCTTTGTGGTGCAGGAAAATTTTATAACTTGTTTTTTTAATCTATCAAAGAAATTTCGTCCTACCTGCATTCACAGATGAGGTCAGTGATGCTGTGCTCTATGGGAACACTGCTGAGGCAGCAGTGGACAGATTTTATTCTGGACAGGTTTTGTACCCCCATGAGTAAAGGTGTGCTTGTCTCTCCTGGAAGAAAAGCTGGAGAAATGGTACTCAGGGTGACCTCAGTCTTCATATTGGGACATCCACAAATGTGCAGTACTGGAGCTGAGTCCTTCCCATTCACAGTGATACAGGGGTGAATGTAGTCCTGAGTACCTGCAGAGCAGCTGTCTGTGATGGATGTTTGGCTCCTTGCAATGTGTTAAACTTACAGTTTGTTAAGTGGAAGCAGCAGATGTGCTGTGATCCCCCAGCTGTTCTCTTCCCCCCTCTGCCCCTGCCCCATCCTTCGTTATTCGTGGTTTACCTGTCATCTCAGGAATTGTATACATGTATCCTAGGGTGCTGAACTCTGTCATGATGTGGCCACATGGGTGATGAAACCTCCAGGTGCCCACCCAGGCTCCATCCATGTTGGTAGCTACAGATCCTATGGCAAGAATAGGAGCCTAGGACCACAGCACTGCCAGGCCCAGTGCCACACTGGAGCTTGCTCTCACGGGTCTTCTCCTATTTTCTCTTATTGCCAGAAGGTTCAAGGATGATCCCCTCTGCTCAGCACTCATCAGGCCTCATTCAGGCATATGTCCTCTTTGGGTTCCTGGAGACAGGCTGGCAAACTTAAGAGGCTCAGGGTTAGGCTGGGAATGTCTGTATGGATGGGGCTGGTTCAGAGTGGAGTAGAGAAGGCCTTGGTGCACCTCACAACCTGGTGCCTATGGGTAAGGCACCTAATATATTTTCCTCTTGAAAACACAACCAGCAGACCTTGATGATGTCTGCAAGGCAGAAAAATGCAATGAGAGAAAAAACAACGTGATTTTTTTTGTTTATCTAAAAGTTGTTCTTGTAGTTTTGTAGTATGAATGCAAGTTTGAACACCTCAGACTTTGGTTTCATGTCTTATTTTCCAGTGGTCCCTTAATTTATGTTTTTGTCCTAGAGAGTGATTTGAGCCTGGTGTTTTTAAGCATAATTTTCTGCTGAAGATAATGTTTAGGAACACCTCTTTGCTGCCACTTTTGAGAGTTTGACAGCTTGAGCGTGCAAATGAAGGCAAGAGAGGCCTTTCCCCAGAGTGAAGCAGAAACGGAGCAGACTCCTTTGTGCATTGTCAGGTCATGCAAAAAAAGCTGGATGCTAGGCACAGATGCAGATGCAAAGTGTTTTCAGACTTCTCTCCAGTAAGAAAATATAGATAAATTCCCCATACATTGAAACTGCAAGCATGCTTAGAAATTATCAAAAATACTGCTGGGTCTTATAAGCTATTTTCATGTTTAAGTTTGCATCTTCATTTTAGGGAATAGTTATTGATGGGGAATTTGTCAAAAACTTTAGTGACAGTGTTATTAGCTCACAGTCTTAATGATGGGAAAGAAAACAGCATGTGCACTCTAAGAAGCTGAATCTCAACCACACAAAAGGCAAAGCCCAAGACAATTAACTCTCTTCCTGAGACTCTGACTTGTGACTGATCTGGGTTGCTGAGGTTTCTGAGCATTAACCTGAATAGTTTAAATATTTCCAGATTGAAAAGCTTTTTGTAGTCAGAAAATCTGAAGTGGCTGCCAGTCCTCTTTAAGAGAAGCCTATGTAGTTCATTTGTTATGGATTTGCTTGTCCTGTAAAAGTTTGCAGAGGAGAATCTTTATCACAGCTCTGTTTTGTTTTCTGTAGTTGTTTGCATGAACATGCATGAGCAGAGGGAATTGCTCTCTATCTGGGGGAAATTCTTTTTTAGACTAAAATGTGATGAGGTGTGTATCCACTTTAATATGTTCCTACATTTGAGAATAAAGGATAAGCTATGTTCTACACCAGGAAAAAACCCAAACAAAATGAAACATCCTTATTCTATCTTCATTTTTTCTCTGGAAGGGATTTAAGGACTCTGGCCATCTGGATGTCTGGCAACTCAGTCAGAGCTGTGGCTACTGTGTGTGTGCAGATTAACTGTGTAGCACATGCACAGTAAGTCCAATGTGTCCAGTACACATCAGACCTGCTGCACATGTGCTGCACAGATGGTCTGTGCATACACAGTAAATCAGCTATGTTAAGCCTACTGCGCATATGCAAACCATCTGTGCATTGCACATATGTATATTTTTGCATGGGAAATCCCTAGTCAGAGCATGAAGGGTTGTGGCAGAGAGGAACTCCAGTGGTAGAGAGACCGTGAGAGAGTCTGACAGTGGCATAAATTAACACAGCTCCTTGCCTCTTTTTGCTCATATCTGGGCCAAAGCTGCAAATAAGTTCCTCAGAATCAGAAAATGTGACTAGCTGCTCAACAGTTTCAATCTCTGTAACAATTGGCTGCAGGAGAGAATCTGTATCAAAACCATTAAAGACAGTGATCATCAGCTAGAAGTTTGTCAGGTATCTCAAAATGAACAAGATCTGGTATTTTACTTATCCAATAAAATAGTGATGCATATGATGCAGGCCTCAGGGGTATATTTAGTCAATTATCTTTCTTTTATTTCCCAGTAATCCTTTTGCTTTTCATCTAATATTCAGCATTTTACATAGGCTATTTGAGATTGACAAAGATGCTTACTGGTTAGTATATAGGCACAGTTTACCTATGTATAGAAAAATACTATCTTTTCAGTCTATATGCAAGTTATTGCATTGTTTATGGTACATCTTTAAGTCCCAGTTCTGACAATGGTAAGGAGGCTCTTTAAACTAAGTCTTTTTTACGTCTATCTCTAATGAGTTGTAATGGTCTGAGGTTGAAGAACCCCTTTTTTATCTCACAAGGCATCACTGCTCTTCTAACTGACACACACTTGAAGAGATACCTTCACAAACTTGAGAAGTGGGCCAGTGTGAACCTCCTGAAGTTCAACAAGGCTAAGTGAAAGGTCACACTCCTGGATTGTAGCAATCATCATTTTCAGTGCAGGTTTTGTGGTGGATTGAGAGCAGCCCTGCAGAGAAGAACCTAGGTATACCA